CCCTCTTTTCCCCCCACCACCCACCCTCTCCTCTTTCTCGCCCACGCAACGGGCCCGTTGCCACTTTCCTGCCCACTCAATGGACCAAACACTAGCCAAACTGTTACATTTTTCTGTCGTAGACTCATTGTGGCAGTGTCGGTTTGGAATCAAAGCGGTCACATAGATCTTGTCGATCGGACGTGCCTTAAATGTGAAACCGTCTGGGAGTTGTTAAAAACAAAGTTAGACAGACATAATATGTAAGAAAAAAGAACTGAGGTAATATTCAGTGGTGGACATTTTTTTCTCTCCAGGGATTTACTTGAATATTATGTTTATTCAGGGGTGGACATTTTTTTCTCCAGGATTTAATTTATATTTATCAAGTGGTGGATATTTTTTTTCCTCAAGGATTTAATTTATATTTATTAAGCGGGGGATAATTTTTTCTCCAGGATTTAATTTATATTTATTAAGTGGTGGATATTTTTTTCTCCAGGATTTAATTTATATTTATTAAGTGGTGGATATTTTTTTCTCTAGGATTTAATTTATATTTATTAAGTGGTGGATATTTTTTTCTCTAGGATTTAATTTATATTTATTAAGTGGTGGATGTTTTTTTCTCCAGGGTTTAATTTATATTTATTCAGTGGAGGAAATTTTTTTCTCCCTAGGATTTACTTTGTATTTATTTACTTTGTTTCCCCCCCTCCCCCCCCCCTTCGTTACCTTGAGGTGCTGAAGTGAAGAAGCAGACGTGTTTCTGTTGTTCGTTGTATCACCTCTTCGGGACAACACAGATTATTTTCCCTGATTTGTATCGTTGATTGGTTGAGTTTGGAACTCATCCCTTCAGGCGAGAAAAGGTATGTTTTTCTACATTTTATCTTTTTGGGTAAGAGAACATTTATTTTCCAAAATGTGTTCGTTTAGTGATGACGTGGACTCTCAAAACGGATTATTGTCGTTTCCTTTTGCATTTTTTTTGTTCTAACTAAAAGCCTTCTTCCCAATTGTCCTTCCTTCATTCTCTGCCCCTCTCTCCATATTTTTCTCCCTCCCTTTCTCTACCCACCTCTCTCTCTGTGTCTTTCTCTCTCTCTTTCTCTCTCTCCCTCCCTCTTACCATTTCTCGTGCTCTCTCTCTCTCTCTCTCTCTCTCTC